ACCCCTTAACCCAGATGGTCATGATTACAGCTGTGGAAAAGAGAGACCAAGAGTCAAAAATAACAGAATTGTCACGTCCCTGGGGATTGTGCCAATGGCTTCCTCCAGCCACCAGAGGGCTCTAAAAGGAGGAATAACCTATTTCTAAGCAGTCCATCTCTGCTCAAACTCAAATGAAATCTGTAGATTATAAGGGATTCTTTTTGTATGCAGAGTTTAAAAAACAAATATGGCTCTTGTTGTCTTAAAATTATCTATAATAGGCAGGAGAGTGAAGCAGAAATTGATTCCAGATCTGCTCTGCCACATGTTTTGAACAGGAGTGAGCAAACTAGTACCCATGATCAAAAACACCATCTGTTTTGTCAATAAAGTTTTACCGCAACATAGCCCACTAATTTATGTATTGACTTTGTCTCCTTTTCCTGTACAAAAACATAGCTGAGGGGCTGCAGTAAGACCATGTGGCCCAGAAAAGCCAAAAAATCTATTACGTACCCCTGATCATTCAGCCTCAGTAGGTTTTAGCAAATAATGTGAATCACACATCTCTACATACTCTAGTTCACAAGATATTAAGAGGCTCAAAAATGCCTCTATAACATATTTCTAATAAAACTCTATCAGCTACATACCTATCAGAAGGCCAAAATCAAGAAGACTGACAACACCAAATACTGATAAGGATGTGGAGCAATAGAAATGCTCATTCATTGTTGGTGGGAATGCAAAATGGTCCCACCACTCGGGAAGACAGTGTGGCAGCTTCCTACAAAACTAAACATGCTCTTGCCATACAATGGAGGGACTGTGCTCCTTGGTATCTACCCAAAGGAGTTGAAAATTTATGTCCACACAAAGTCTACATGTGGATGTTTGTAGTGGCTTTACTCCTATTTGTCATAACTTGGAAGCAACCAAGATGTCCTTCAGTAGGCGAATGGATAAACTGGTGCATACAATGGAATGTTACTCAGCAATAAAGAAAAATGAGCTATAGATGAAAAAACATGGAACAACCTTCAATGCACTTTACTAAATGAAAGAAGTCACACTGTGTGGTCCCAACTATATGACATTCTGGAAAAGGCAAAACTATGGACACAGTTAACAGATTGGTGTTGTGGAGGAGGAAGGGATGAGTATGCAGAGGAACTTTTAGGGCAGAGAAAGTATGTCACTATACTCTTGTCCAAGCCCACAGAACACACACCAAGAGTGAGCACTAAGGAACACTATGGCTGACTCTGGACTGGGGGCAATAATGACGTCCATGTAGGTTCATCAATTGTAACAAATGTACCACTCTGGTGGGGAATGCTGACAATGGGGATGCTTTCCAGAGCAGACAGGGGAAATCTCTGTACCTTCCACTCAATTTTGCTGTCAATCTAAAACTGCTCGAAAAAATGAAGTCCATTAAAAAAAAAAACTACTAATAAGATTGTGAAGGCCATTAAAAGCTGTTTGCCAGCTATTTCCAGTTTGTACCTACAACACACCCAGTAGATTGCACTTCTTTGCCATGGGGTAGGACCATGTGACTCATTATGGCCACAGTGGCTAAGCAGAAGTGACAGGTACCACTTCCAAGATGAAGCAAGACCTTCCGGAGATCTCTTTTCCCTTTGGCTCAAACTGGCAAATTCAAGCTTGTGACAGCCCTGAGTGACAATGAGGAGCAGAGTCCCCCAGCTGACCTCTGGCACACAAACAACAGAGTGAGAAATATTTCTTGTTCTAATCACTGAGCTTTTGGGATTGTTTTCTCAGCAAAATCTAACTTGCCTTCACCAATATAGAGATGATCAATAACTATGTTATTATTATATTTGCAAAATCATGACTTCTCCCTACCCTACCCCCTGGTTCAGTTGAAGATATGGCAGATTTAAGGGAGCAAAGCTGATGTAGCCATGAATTTCCATCTTCACTTACAAATCTACAGGAGTTTAAGTACTTAGTCCATGGAAACTCTTTCTAAAACTTGGTCTTCTATTTCCAAACACCTGAAAATTCCAAGAACCCTCTCTCTCTCGGTCTCTCAGTCCATCCCTCCCTCCGTCAGAACTCTCGTTCATGCCTATCTATCAAGTCATCTCGGTTTCACCTTCAGGAGTGTATAACCTCCCAAGGAGGGAGGTTCTTCCTAATTTTCTTCCAAGAATTGCAGCTTTTGTCCCTTCCTCAGAGAACCCAGAAAGAGAACAATTCTAATCAAGTAGAAAAGCTAAAGAAGGTTGTGAACCCTCACAAGTAAAAATATTTATCTCACTATAAATCATCATCACCATTTCTGCTAAAGTTTGAGTGCCTCTAACTGCCATTTCTTTTGTTTTATTTCTCAATTAGCTCAAATACCAGGCAGGAAGCAGGTTATTCTGGGGGCCCCTCAAGCCCAGCAAGGGCCAACTGGAGTCCTCCCAGGAAGTTTCTGCAGCACAGTCTGGTGATCACACATTACCCGCCAGCTGTGCGGGAAGGTCACGGGGGCTGTGATAATCTTGGAGAGTAAAGACAGTGACACTGACAAAGCCTCATATGGGTCTCCTTCCACCATCAGCAACTTCCTAACAGTGTACGGCTGGCAGAGCCACCCAGTTCCCACACAAGAAGATCAACACTTTCACAGCCTGTGTGCAGAGGGCTCCCCAAACTCCCAGGGTAACCTCTGTATCTACAGCAGGTTCCCCACCAATTCTAGGAAGCCCCTCCTGCCTCTGCACTGTCAGCCTGTTCTGCTCTTACCTTCCCAGCCAAACCTAAAATCTCTCTCCTCTGCTGCATGGACACAGGCAGAAACACATGACTACTTGAAGACAATGAGCAAAATACAGAGGAAAACAGCCTCTGAAATTCTCCTTGCACTGCCATGCGATTTGTGGCTGTTTCAGCCTTTGGACATACAACCCTGACTTCTTCACAAGGGCTTTCTGGATGTTACAGATGTGCAGTACCCAGATGGCAGCTTTGATCAAGCGATGGCATTTGCTTCCAAGAGCTATAAGCCAGGGCTGTTCCCCAGCTGCATGATGACTAGTACTTTCAGGGTTGTCAACAAATTCAGGTGCTGGCAGTAGTAGGTCCAATCTTCAGCTTTCTGATTGTAAAAACAATGTGGACTCTTCTTTGATGTACCCATATACACATGAAGTCCAGCGGTTCTCCAAGTCTTGCTGCCGTGTCTCTTGACACCCTTTTCTCTCAATTTTCTCTCCTCCTCCTCCTTTTAGGGTCCATGGTATCTCTTGCTGGACAGCAGAAATAACCCACTGGTCCTCCCGCCCTCAGTCTCCACCCTCTGGGGCCACTGTGATGCTGACCACTGCAGGACACCAGCATGGCTCCCTGACTGCCTTATAGCTGCTCAGCACAGTGGGTAAGAGCTGGGCGTTAGCGTCAGATAACAGCAGGGTTCAAGTCCTGACTCTGCGCATCAAAGGGACCCTGGTCCTCTTTTCTTCACCTCAGTCTGGGGATAACAGTAGCATATACCTCAAGAGTTTGGGAGGACTGAGTAGGGTAATGCATGTAAGGCTCTTTTCACAGTGTTTTCCTTCCAGTAAATGCTCGATAAATGCTTATTTTCATATGTTCCAAGTATCTGAGGCCCTGCGAATTCTGATCACAACAGACCTTTCAATTCCCATCACCTACCAATCCGCACAGTGGATGCACTCTGCTTCGTCCAAAGGGTCTCATCCTGTGCTCCCACTCACTGCTGGTCCCCACACCCCTCAGTTGGAATATTGGAGCTTTATTTTTACCTCTAACATGCTCATCCCCAAAATGTAAAAAGAATCATCAGAATATCGTATATTTTCAATAAACTTTTTCATTGGGAGATAAGACTCAAATTATGCATATTTTGGTATGCATAATTTGAGTCTTGGTATGTCGCTTTCTGAAATTGGTCCGTTTGGTTGTCTGATCATCTTTCTAAGGACAAAGGTCACCTTTTCTATGCTGAAATAGGCTAGCACCTTTAATGCCCAGTGTCATCTTCTCAGACTCACCAGCAGGGGGAGTGCCGGAATAAAGTAGGGAGCTTGAACACTCCCTCATGAGGGGAGTTATTTGTTTCAGAATTCACAGTCCAGTGACACTATTTTTTTAATACTGCCAGAGGCCCAGAAGATGCAAACATCTTAGCTACCGTGGTTCACAGGACAGCCCATGCTCACTACTATCATTAAAATGAGTTTTCCTGTGATTTGCACAGTTCTAAATTCTCATTACAAACTAGAGTATCTGAGTTACCTGAATTGCAGGTGTGCCTCATTTCATTCCTGGCAGCCCTTGCAGAGTGGAAGCATCACAGACTCTGGAGCCAGGCTGCCTGGATTCAAATCCTGCCTATGCCACTTGCTAGCTGTGTGATCTTGGGTATGATAGTTAATCTCCCTGTGCCTCAGTTCCCTCACCTGTGAAATGGGAAGAACCACGGCACCTGTCTCCTCCCAGGTTTCTGGGAAGATGTCACAATGTGCCAGCACTTAGACCCTACCATTACTACTGCATGCGATTTTGCTACTCCTACCATTACTACTCTGTGGTTAGCGGCCGCAATTGTCCTGGAGCCACACAGGCAACAAGGACCAGACACTGAATCTGTCCTCTTAAAAGCGGCTCAGCAAAGGAAGCCTCATGGATGGCATCTACTCTGCCTTGCAGTCAAAGCCACCAGGAGGGAACAAGGCAAAACAAAATCCAAAACAGAGGACTACTTACTTACCTGAGGCTTCACTTGCAGAAGCTCAGGTGGTTAAAACACATAAGGCAATACTTAGCTCTAATAACTGCTGATGGTTCATAAACAGGCACCCAGGGAACCCCACCCTTTTGGAGTTGTTATGATGGGGGACCCTGACAGTGCCCAGAATAGTGAAAAGTCTGCCTGTGCATTATAGATACGCTTACTTCACAGCATGATTTCCCCATTCACTGCAGTAAGAATACTTCTCACCTCTGTCGTGCTTACAAATGTCTACCCCTATTACCTGAGTTCATTTTGATGGATTTCCGCCATTTTTCTTTCCAGCTTCTGTGACTGCTTGGGGAAAATCTCAAACTCACTGATGTAATTCTCAGGGTGCTCATCAGGGTCATAATCACCAAGCTCAGCTGTAACCAGTAAACAACAGAGAAGATTAAAAACAACAAAATAGGGCATGTGAGGAATGGCTCCTGCCACCCAAAAAAGGAGCTTGGAATAGTTCACCCAACAAAATGTATTTGCACCCCCAGAAAGACCACAGCCTGAGCAGTCCTGTACTAGTTCAGATCTAGCTGTGTGCGCCTGAGCACTTGACAACCTCTCTGATCTCATTTCCTTCAACTATACACTAAAGGGATTTAAATTGCTGTTCCTCAGTGAGGCACTATTGGCATTTGGCAGGCTAAACAATTCTTTATTGTTTCAGACTTTCCAAGGCAAGGTAGGACATGTCACCCTGCCCTTCAGATGTTAAGTGCTAGCGACAAACCCAGTTATTATGACCACCAAAAATGTCCCCAGTATTTCCAAATGCTACCAAGGATAGGATGCAGTACCACGCTACCCGGAAACCCCATCCCTCAAGGTTCCTTTCACAGCTGACTGCCTCTGAGTCTAGGAATTCCCTGCTCTGGAATTTGTGCAGGCCTGGCTCACCCATCACCCAAGGGGATTGCACTTACACTAAATGGATTGCTTTGCCAATTTTTAGTATGGACAAGTATACCAGATTAAGGCTTGCTGGATTCTATATAGGGTACCTTCAGATCTTTAAGGGTAAAAAAAAAAATGCCTGCACATCTCTGAGTACCTGGGGAGTCTGGGAAATGATGGATATGCATCTAGGACCTAGGATATGCTTGGCCCAAAGGCCTGGAACAGCAGAGGTGATGCTCTGGCTGTGGGAATACTTTGTATGGATTGCACAAGCTTGCCAGAGAAAATGAGCCTGAAGGGGCAAGTATCTCAGGCACAAATGGCCCAGGACAGTAGATAACAATGATGGGAGAATTACAGAACTTGACCACCAACATGACTTAAAAATCAATGTGTCTTGAGCACATCTGCAAAACCAAATCCCACTCTGTAATTTTTATCTACTGTCCCTTCATCATTGAATCATCTAATGACTGTAAAAGGACAAATCGGGAGGAAAGCAAAGCTTTTCAGAGCTCCTTAATGGAATTCAAATTACAGAGCACTCAAAACAACCTGAAACACGTATACCACGTGAGGAAGGACTTAGAAAATAAGACCCGAAATATCATCAACCATACGGGGAGGAACTGATTTGACCATATCAAAATTAAACTATTTCTGTTCATAAAAGGACACCAAAATCAAAATAACAGATGACATGCTGAAGGAATGTATTTGCAAAATCCAAAGCTGACAAGGGCTAGTAACCAGAATAAAGAAGAAATCCCTACAAATCAAGAAGAAAATAGGCAAGAAGACCAGCAGAAGAATGGCCAAAGGATATAAACAGGCAGTTCACAGAAGGGGAAACCCAGAGGGCTTGTATAATCAGAGCTATATAAACCAAAAGAGCAAGATAGCACTTTACACCTGTGAGGCTGGCAAACGTGTAGGAAGCTGGATTATTCTATGTGTTGATAGAGACATGAGGAAATGGAAATCCTTGTATATTTCTGGAGGATCTGGGTGCATGTAGCTCTTCCAGACAGCAAGCTGGGGATATTTAGTCAAATATGACCAGTAACCTTACTTCTATAGATTCTAGAGAAACTATGGGTGCCAAAAAAAAAAAAGATATGAAGGCAATTTAGGTGCTCATTGTTGATAGAAGCAATAAATAAAACGTGGTGATGCACCTTATCAGACACTCTACAGCAATTTTAAAAGCACCAAAATAGAGGTATATCCAGCAATGGCAAATAGATTGCCAGAAGGGTGTTCTGAGCCTAAAAAGGAATTAAATGAGTTCTATAACCCCATTTAATTTACAAAACTTAAAATTGCATGGACTCTTAATCATTAAAAATCATATAAAAAGTGAATCATTTTACAAGGATGTATATGCAAAGTCAAAGATCTATGAATCCAGTTATTGCCCTTGAGAATGGAGATGCAGAATAATGAAAAAGGAAAATGCATCAACCAAATCACTCAATCAATAGATGAGCCCAAGGGGACCAAGGATGAGAACAGGCCATGAAATGATGACTAACTCAACCTAAGTTTCAAAAGCAGTGCACATAAGACACCTACACATGCACACATGTATATATGCCCCGTGAGCTGGCTATGGGCCTAAAAATTGAGATGGTATAACCAATGCCTTCATTTTCCATAGGGAATGGACCACCGATAAGAAACCAATCATCTTCAATGTAAATGCCAGCTTGCACGGTGGTTGGTAAGGGAGGGCATTGTTTGCAAGGGCCACTTCTCTTTCCAGGAAAACTTGTGAGGTACAAGGGACTTGTACTGCTAAGTACTGCAAGTAAGTAGCCTGGAAAATGCTAGAAAACTAAGGGAAGAAATATCATGGAACCTGCACAGGGTTGCTGATGAGGTAAATGTCTATGCCTCCACCATCCCATGCCCTGCTTTCCTGTCCCTTAAAACTTGCTTTTAACTGACTTCACCTGAAGCAAAAGGCAGTTTATAAATATTAAGGACTTCTAAGTATTCAAATTTCATTTTCTATACCAAGAGGAGTTGAGTAAGCAGCTGGTAGTTCTCTGTCCCACACACAACATTGAGGCTAAAGTTGTGACAAATGACATGCAGCACACTGATGTGAGACAGTGTCTAGCATGTTTCTAAGAGAATTTCACCATCAGAAAAATCCAAAGATGGGAATGGAAATTGGTGCAGCCATTATGGAAAGCAATATAGAGGTTTCTCAAAAGATTAAAAATAGAAATACCATATGACCCAATAATTCCACCTCTGGCAACTTACCTGAAAAAAACAAAATCACTAATTTGAAAAGATATATGCACTGCTATGTTTATCACAGCATTATTTACAATAGCCAAGATACAGAAGCAAGCCTAAGTGTCCATCAGTAGATGTATGGGTAAAGAAGACATGGCATGTGATGGAACATAACTCAGCCATAATAAAGAATGCCATCTGGCAATCGGCAACCACATGGATGGACCTGTAAGGTATTATGTTAAGTAAAATAAGTCAGAGAAAAACAAATACCATATGATTTCACTTATATGTGGAATCTAAAAAAAAAAAAAAACAAATGAACAAAATAAAAATAGACCCATAAACACAGAACAGGGGAGGGGAGTTGGGGAATGGGCAAAATAGGGGAAGAGGAAAAAAAATTAGTGGGGACATTTGATATCTTGATCTGGGTGATGGTTACATGAGTGTATACACATGTCAAAATTCAGCAAGCTGTACACTAAGATTTGTGCATTTTATGGATTTCAATTTTTTTTAAAGGGGAAAAGAGAAATATACCATAAAATTTTATTTAAAAAGAGAAGAAAACTGCAAAGAGTTGAGGCATAAGGTTGAGTGCAATCAAGTGATGGTAGTAAGGGGCAGGCTTGCAAAGGCATTTCCTCTGGGTGGGACGGGCTCACTCCAAAACCACTGGAGCGACAGCACCTTCCAGCTACAGGGTCAGCTCCTTCTGAGCCTTCCCTGACCCCCCGTGCTGGGTCAAGGGCCCTCTTGGGGTCAGCGCAAGGACCCATGTGTCCCTCTATTTAGCCACTAACACATCATCACAACTGCCTGATTACTTGTCTAATTCCCTGCCCACAACTCCACAGAGACTTTGTACTACAGCGCCTGCTAGAGAGTAGCTGTTCAATACATGTTTTGAGACCACATGACCAAATAAACGAATGTGGTAGTAACATCACTCTTTCCTAAGTAAGAAAATACAGCCTACTGTGGTGCAATTTAGGCAGGTTCCCTGGTTCACTTAACACACGTGGTGGAGAACTTACTGTGCACCAGACACAGGGTGTTGCACCCAGAGTCCTCCCTCCATGGAATCTAGAGTCTACACAGGGGGGAATGCACAGTAAGCCCAAAATCAAATCAAAGGGATAATTTCAGAAGTGCTAACAAGACAGCAAAACACAGGTGTGAGAAAGAATCATGTCCAGGACAGAAGCTACTTTAGTGCTTTAGTAGTCCAGGAAGACTTCTCAGAGGAAGTGGCAAGTGACATCGGAACTGAGAGCTAAACGTCTAAAAGGAGCCACAGACCCAAAGGGCTTGAGCCCACCAAGGCAAAGGAGATGAGAACAATGAACCAGCCATGCTTACTATGAAAGCATATGCATTGCATGTACTGACCATGCACATCATATTCAGTATGTACGTGTAGCAAAACCCTGGGTGGCTGCCAGTTCTTCATACCCTCAGAATATTCTAAAGCTTAAAACATACTCTTTGGAAGAATGTTAGCAAACAAGGAGCCAGTGAAAAATCACAGCCTCCTGCTTCCTAATCATTTATTCCACATTCTTATCACTCTCTATAAGCATAGGCAGCTCCAACAAAGCAAGTCTTTATCTGCATTTTGTAACAGTCTCTAGAGCTGCTCAAGTTTCACCCAAGCAGAGAACTGATGAATACAGCTTTTACTGGGTTTGCTATAAATGACCCGAGGCATTTTAGAACGGAAAGGTTCTTTCAAGATCTGGAAATCCATTTCTAACTCTACTTTCTCCACAAAATGCATGTGGCAGGTGGGTGGGTGGGTGGGGTAATTAGATAATTAGAATGAGGGATAAAATAGGGTCCTGATCCTCTGGATGGAGACTGTGTGGCTTTATTTTAAACAGTATGGAGGGTTTCCCATTACATACACATACTGAGCTTGTCTTGACCAGAATTCATTAATGCCTAAATGGATTCCGCAGTCCTCATCTGCTAGTCTGTTGCTTGGACTGGTATTGGTTCACTTCTCCCTTGTAGAAGACAGTGCATCCTACCTGGGGATTTGCAGTCTTCACAGGGAAGGAGAACCATGGGGTTTTAACAGCCCTTAGCTCTGATTAAAGAGAGGCACCTTTGAGAAGCACATACTCCAGATGTGCTTATGGGCAGAAAGAATGATGATTTCCCATCACTACAGTTCTGATATCAATCAGACTTGTAAATCTTCAGGGATTTTAACACCACTGCCAAAATATACTATGCAGCGCTAGGTTGTGTCCAAAGGAAGGGAAAAGGCAACAGAGGCATGCTCTCCAGAATTCTCAGAGAGCACACACACATCTGGAAGGAGGGCCCAAGGAACTATTTCACAGCCCAGAGCATCCTGCAGGGATAGCGGTGAGAAATGGTGGGTGTACCTCTTAAGCTGTGAAAGGAATTGTGATAGGCAGATGATTATTACCATCTGCCTATTAACGAAGCTCCTTTGCTATTCCAGACCCTTTATCAGGATGACATGCTCACCTGCCTCTCTCCCCCTCCCCCTTTTCTTCCCTTACCTTCCCTCCCTGCCCTCTTCTCTCAGAGACACATCATTAGTATTCATGCTGCAAAAGTCTGGATCACCTGCGTCCCTCCAAACAAGCGCTGCCACCAGCTGCCTTCTGAGTGGCCCAGGGGGACAGAACACCTGAGTCAGTCTTCCCGTGGGTCCCGGGCCCAGCCCCATGGCATGTGCCACCTCGGGCCCTGGAGCCCACCTCCCCTCACACAGTCTTCTCTTACAGGTGGGCACATCCAGAAGCCAGCCCTGGGTCACAGGCACTTGCTGGTCCCCACTGCCCCATCCTCTGGGGCTTGTTCAACCCTGAGAATAAGTCATAAAATCTTCATGCAGCAGTGAAGGAGGTATACCACCCCATTTAACATATGCTTAAAGAGCTGAAATAATTTGTCTATGGTGAAATAACCAGAACAAGAGAAGTAAGGTGTAAACCATGGTATGACAGACTGTAAGTCTGGGGCTCTCCTCAGCAGGGGACAGGGCTAAAAAGCTGAAGAGCTGGATCTAGTGTACGTGTACATACACACACACTCCACACACATGGATGTATATATAAATTATGTACACATACATGGATGTATATGTAAACACTTTAACATTTCACTTCCAGTGTCTGAGATGACACCCGTTTGACACCTATCTTCCTGGACATAGGTTCCTCCCTCAATGTACCCACTAGGTCCACTCCTGGCAGTTGGAGCTCGAGGCAGAGCTCAGGGTTTGGAACACCCCGCATCCCTTCAGAACTTATAAAGTCACACATTGGGACTCTTTGAGAGATGCTGAGCTCCACCATGCAGCTTGAGGACCCTTTGTTCTTGCACAGGCCCATATGATCACCACAGCTGGCCTTCCACCAGGGACACCTGGCCTGGGAGGGAAGGTGAGCAGGGGCTCTGCTGCCCAGCACGCAGCCCTGCCTGGCCTTGATGGGTAGGGCATGGGTAGGGAGGAGGGAGGAGCCAAAGCTCCACTCAGTGCAAGGGTGGGTGTGCAGCTGAGGCCACACTTACCTTGAACAATACAGGCACCCAGGTAGGCAGCATCTGAAAAGGAGCAGAGCAGGCGGCCGTGGAAAATATCTCTTTTAATCTGCAGGTACAGAAGGTACCTGCAACACAAGAGGAGAAAAGGCGCCGTGAGTGCTGGCTTAGGCCTGGAAGACGGGGAAAATGGTTCTTACTTCCTCCAGCTGGGTCAGCAGAGCCCTGGGAAGCTCTGCCAAGGGCAAGCCGAGGAAAACTGGGGACCCCTGTGTTCAGAAAACCTGTAGCTCCATGGCAGCTTCCAATGCTGGGTGGCTGGCCCTCTGTAGACATGGAAGCACCAAGGAAAGCCGCAGGGCCCAGCAGCCACTGCTCCCGGAACTAGCTCCCAATGACAATGCAGCTACCACTGTCACTCCGACCTGCACACACACAGTGCCCAGTCTGTGCAACATGGAGACTCAGGAAGTGGGCTCGACCAGCACACGGAGACTCGTCCTGGGGGCAGACAGCTTCCCATTAATCAATCTCAAAAAGACTTGGTCATGAGCCAGAAGGCCAACTATTCCCAGCCAGAGCTGTCCTCTGGTTAGCGTCCCCTCCTCTCCAGGGACAGCAAACTCAGATGCCCACAGAGCCAGGCACCCCTGAGCGTGCGTGAGATGGGCTGGCCAGAGGGGCTCAGGGAAGCAGAATAGGAGCGGATGCTCCCATAAAGGGTTCAGCCACACACAGCAACAGCCCAGCATAGAAAAGCTGGCCAACACATCCAGCTTTCTCATAAAATCAAGGAACTGGATTTAGAAGTAAAATCTTCTGAACTTTAAACGTTGCAACAAATTCTGTTCCTAAAAACACTGAGTGCTGACCCCAAAAACACCCCACACAAGCCCAATCTGGCCAAAGGAGCAGGGGACAGATGAGTCACAGCCCTGGCTCAGGCAGCTCCCACCACTGTCCCTTCCGTTCCCCCACACTGACCAAACCCTCCAGATTTCCTCGTATTTCTTAGCCAGGCTAATACTTTCACTCAGGATTCAGGCCTGGGGTCTCCGGCTTCTGATTGAAGTAACTTAACCATTGGGTGCAGATTCCTTGTGTTTATCTTAGACTTTAACTCTCAGAGACCAACTATTTTTTCTCCAGGGTCTTGGGGATGGGGAGGGGTGGGGAACCGCTCAGTGGGTCCCAGTTACTCCCTCCACTGCCCAGATCATCTGATATTTATCCACAATGCAAAGCATATGCACAACCCCACCCAGAGCGTGGTTGCCATGCAGGGATCACATACGTGCTGCCAGCCCCAAGCGCTGGAGCTCCCACCTCAGGGTGTTGGCTCCCCAAAAGCACTCTGCACACCCTGATGGTTCAAGTCCCTGGTGTTTCCATCACTGACTCTTTATCTCACACTTGCGTTATGCTGTACACTGTGCTAGGCACTGGGGACACGGTGGAGGCTCAAGTGACATATTCTGCCCCCAATTTTCTACAGAACTGTTTGCAGGGGGCAAAGGCAGTCCCTAATAAATTTCTTATCTGGAGTTTGGTGCACATTTTGTCAGAACAGTGTTACACTTGGTAGGTAAAGACCCAGCAAAGCTCCCCAAACTAGCACCTCTCGCACTTTAATGAGCAGGTGAATTACCTGGGGATCTTGGAGAATTGGGAATTCTGGTTCAGCAAGTCCAGGTAGAGTATCAGAGTCCATGTTTCTAATGAGTGCCCTGGTGATGTTGTGCTGGCAGCCCCCAGGCCACACTTTGAATAAGAAGGTTCTAAACCAGTGGTTCTCAGCCCAAACTGTACATTACAATCATTTGAGGGAGTTTTTTTTTAAATACCAATGCCTGACCCCCTCCTGAGACCCATTAAATCAGAATCTAGAATCTCACAAAAACATGTACATGAATGTTCATAGCAGCAATACTCATGATAGCTAAAAAGTGGAAAAACCCAAATGCCCACCAACTGATGTATGGGTAAAAGGAAGTGGTAATCCACACAATGGAATATTATTCAGCCATAAAAAGGAAGTACTGATAGGCACTACAACACAGATGAACCATGAAAACATTAAGCTAAGTGAAAGGCCACATAGTGTATGATTCCATTTGTATGAAATGTCCACAATAGGCAAATCTGCAGGTACAGACTAGCAGCTGCCAGGAGTGGGTGGGGGGAGGATTCAATAGGGAATGACTGCTTGGGCATTGGGTTTCCTACTAAGATGTTAAAATGTTCTGGAATTAGATTGTGGTGATGGTGGCACAACTTTGTAAACACACCAAACTCACTGAAGTATACGTGCTGCCATAAGAAACTCATACTTTTGAAAATCCAACTACCTTAGAGTAATGCTTTAAAATTACCTGGAGGGCTTATGCAAATAGATTGTTGGACTCCATCCCAGGTCGGGGGCAGGGGCCACATTCCCAGAGAATGCTGCTGTTGGTCTGGGGGCCTCACTTGAGGACTTAGGTCCTAGACCATTCAGAATACCAAGGACACACAAATACTTGACATGATCAGATCTTTCCTTTTTTAAAAAAATGAAGTATTTCAACACTAAAATACACTGTGATACTTCAGTTAAAAAACTATTTATTTTGTTAAATAGTAGGTTATTAACTACTTACATGTTGCCATTAAAAGAGTACCGATTTTGACTTGAATTTTAATAAAAAATACTCTGGACTATAAGCATAGAGAGCATGTTACAACTGTGAACTACGAGGCCATGTGCCATGAAGTTTATTTTCTTCTTGTTAAATGCACATGTTGAACAAAAAGCATTCTTTTCTATTTCTTGATGAGTTTAGCAGTGAAAAACAGTTTCACATATCTATTTACTGATGAATGAGAGGTTTAGGTTCTAATCCCATAACTCAGCAATCAGCTTGATGAAAGCTTCCTGAAACAATCAGCCTTTACAACATAGTGCTTGGATCCTTGCTCATACCAGTGATCTCTAGAGATAATCATGGATTAGGATGGATTCAGCATAATCCACTGAACCTTACAAATGGCTTCAAGTTTGGATACTCATTTCTTAATACAATGGCCACCAAAAATAAATAAATAACAATGCATCTTCCTTTAATACCACCCCTGAATGAAAGAACTAAGCAATAAAAGCAGAGGAGGATCTGGGGCATACACTGTGTATCACCATTAATGATACTGTTTATCTAACATGAACTTAAAGATGGTTTTTAACTAAAAAAAAGAAATTAAAACCAAAATACTTGATTACATTCAATTGTATATAGCATTTACAAAAGCCTACAAAACTAGAAGTTGTAAGATCACTGGGTAAATGGAAAGATAAAGTATGATTTTAAATACCTTTATTGAAAGTTTTTTTGTTGTTTTTTTCTTTCATTCCTGCCTTTTTCTCAATGTTTCTTTATCCTTGGCATGGTCATAAATTCCCTTTTTATGTATTAAATTCTTCTTAAATTTTAGATTAACCTTACAATAAAGTAGCAACTTATCCAACAAGAAAAACTAAACTCTATCAAAATAGGATTTAAACCCTAAGTATCCGGGGCATTCCACAGTTTCTAAATTAGTCTTGAATTCTGAGGACTGTTGACTGAGAAAAGCCCATTTCTACCTGCACAAGGACAGGGCATTGTCTAAATTGCCTTGGGAGACATAAAAGTGTTGCTAATGTTCTGCTATTTATACCTCAACTACTCAGTCAAATGCAGGGAAATACTGGCACATTCACTGAGAGGGGCTTAACATGGGTCATTAACAAAAACTTTATTCTTTTATTTCAAATGGGACTTTTATGAACAAGATCCATCCTTAATTTATATGTGACACATATTCAATTTTTACCTTCCAGACAAGACTATAATGAAAACAAATGACAAAAATGAGCCATTTTGGCACCTAACAAAATAATGCCTGACATTAGGCGGTCTGATCTTCCTCTTTACCCCATCAGCACCCAGAACGCAGGGCAAATCTTTATTTATTTATTTTTTTGACAGCAATTACAGCCTCTGCCACTTATTGTATGATTCCAATTAATGAAATGTCCCAAATAGGCAAAGTAGATTAGTGGTTGCCAGGGCCCCAGGGAGAGCAGAGTGAGTGGGACTGCTCCTGGGACAGCATTTGGGAGATGAGAAGATGTTCCGGAACTAGACAGTAGGGATGGTTGCCCAACATTGGTAATGTACTTAATGACACTGAATGTATATTAAAAAAAAAAAGCTGACCACTATATTGGGGATCACCAAAAAGATTTCTAAGGCCCATGTATTGAAGGTTTCATTACTCTGGAAGTCCAATCGGCCACCCGTGAAAAACTAAAACCTACCTGTACACTGAGTGATGGGCTCAACAATCTGCACCTGCATTCCTGGTAAAGGGTGAGCACAACACTCACCTTTCCCCTTGACTTCCTTCTGCATGATGTCAGACAGCCAGGATGGGTACTGCCCCCAACTCCTTTCTTTATATAACATATCTTTTGTAAATGAAATGTACCCTCTGAAGCTCTGTCTCCCTTGTCCATCTCCTCAAGGATATAAAACCTTCATATGACTTGGGCTTCATGGAACATATCTCCTACCCCACCTGCTGGAGTTACATATTCCTGGGTCTAGATCCCAAACTTTGGCTCAAATAAAACTCTTTATTTTCAAGGCGATTTGTTGAATTTTTCAAGGACAGATTGTACACTGTGAAGTGGTAAAATTAGTTTCTGAGTGAATTTTAGCTCGATGTTTTTTAAAAAGCAGGCCAGACTGCAAAATGCTAGCCACCACTTATAATGTCCATTATCTATACAGCCCTTGTTTCTACACACACACACACCCTGCCCGCCCCCAAGCCAGACCTCACTGCATGGCTGTGCACAAATAAATAACAATGTCACCTCAGTGCCACTACAGTCAGGCCTTACTAGAGACTCGTGAATAATGAGAAAGCAAAATATCTAAGAAGCCAGCATGTCTCCCCACCGATGACAACCAGAGCCGCCCTTTTCTGCTGCGTCCAGACCTGGGGGGATGATTCTAAGATGCTGATGCACAGTGAGGTTTGCAGTCACCTGATCAGAGCCTCATCAGCAGCTAAGCACACGTGGGCTCTTCCCCATCCACCCAGCTGGCCTTCCTGGGACTCTGCTCTGCCGCAGGGCCGGGGGCTGCTCAAGGAGGCAAACCCCAGAGGGAAGACTGAATGGCCCCAGCACAGGGAGATGAGAAGGGAGGAGGCCTGAGGATCGGAAAATTCGGAGAGTTGAGCTGAAAGGGCTCTCGATGTAGAGGGAAGCCGGCCCCAGGATGGTCATAGTTCAGCAAGCGGAATGGGGAACAACAAACAGTCCATTCCATCAAGTGATCCTTTCTCTCCCAGAAAAACTCAGATCCAAAAGACAGGCCCTGCGGGGCTGCACTAGCTGTGGATTTGCCTATCTCCTATAGACAGCCATCTTCTCTTTATTTTTAGCACCCCACTGTCAGATGTTTTCAGAGAATACCCCTCCTTATAGCCCCGGCTTCTTTGTGCACTTAATTACACTCCCAGTGACAACTGCTTGAAAAATCCTGAGACAATTAAGTGTAAGAGAAACAAGCATTCCCAGCCAAAATGCTGGGTTGAGCACCCACTTCCTTGAGGTGATCTGCCCCAGCCAGGAGGCCCGTGTGGCCTGGAAGACTCCGAGGCCCTGGCTGGCTAAAGGCACACATGAAACATACAAACAAACGAAAAATACCTTGTGAGCTCTTCTTTAATCTTCAAGGGTTCATGCGGGTAGAATTTCACTCTAAAGCACATGGTATATGGTGGATGAGCTGAAACAGCATAAAGAAAAGGCATGAGAAAAGCAGCAACCACCGCGGACTCACACACACAGGGCAGGCAGCCCAGACAGGGGCGAGGGGATTTTCTGGAGGAAGCAGGTATTATGACCAAGAAAACAAAGCAACAGTGACAACAAAACTCAACCACAATGCTTGGTAGGATGCCCAAGGCAAATGCAGAGACGCATTTCCACATCACAGATCCCCTCCACTCCATTCCCTCCAGGCCCAGCTGCAAATAACATGTCTTCGTCCTGTCCTTTCCACCTCCCTCTGACAGCTAAGTGGCCCATAGCTCCATTCAGGTTTTTGGCCTACTGAAATATTTTTCAGCCTGTGAGGTGGAAAATGTCACTGCACATGATTAGTTTTCCCAAAATGATGGTGCCTTTGAACTAAAATTGAGATTTTAAAAATGGAGTCGGCCATGCACAGATCCTACTTCGTGTGTTTTTGGAATTATTTTAGTATTATCTATGAGGCAGCCACTTAGATAAAAATAGCACTTTTATAATTTCCTGATCTGTCTGAATCAAGATAACATTATGCAGACTGAAATTCTGGTGGAAACTCATTGTTCTGGAATGTTCTAAATGCACTGAATATTGGAACTCAGTGACCAGCTAAGTGGACTCTACAGGACTTCTGACACCTTCCAATTAGAAGACCACTGTTGATTTGCAATATTAACCTAGTAAATGCACACAAGTACAGTAAAATGCATTCAGATTTCATTTAGCATATAAAATGAACATCTGAAAATGAAAGAAATGTGATGGTTAGTATGACTATTTCTCTGGCTCTGAAATACTCACGCTTTTTTGCTTTTGTCTTAGTATGGCTACCTGGACCTATAGACAGCCATCTTCTCTTTATTTTTAGCACCCCACTGTCAGATGTTTTCAGAGAATACCCCTCCTTATAGCCCCGGCTTCTTTGTGCACTTAATTACACTCCCAGTGACAACTGCTTGAAAAATCCTGAGACAATTAAGTGTAAGAGAAACAAGCATTCCCAGCCAAAATGCTGGGTTGAGCACCCACTTCCTTGAGGTGATCTGCCCCAGCCAGGAGGCCCGTGTGGCCTGGAAGACTCCGAGGCCCTGGCTGGCTAAAGGCACACATGAAACATACAAACAAACGAAAAATACCTTGTGAGCTCTTCTTTAATCTTCAAGGGTTCATGCGGGTAGAATTTCACTCTAAAGCACATGGTATATGGTGGATGAGCTGAAACAGCATAAAGAAAAGGCATGAGAAAAGCAGCAACCACCGCGGACTCACACACACAGGGCAGGCAGCCCAGACAGGGGCGAGGGGATTTTCTGGAGGAAGCAGGTATTATGACCAAGAAAACAAAGCAACAGTGACAACAAAACTCAACCACAATGCTTGGTAGGATGCCCAAGGCAAATGCAGAGACGCATTTCCACATCACAGATCCCCTCCACTCCATTCCCTCCAGGCCCAGCTGCAAATAACATGTCTTCGTCCTGTCCTTTCCACCTCCCTCTGACAGCTAAGTGGCCCATAGCTCCATTCAGGTTTTTGGCCTACTGAAATATTTTTCAGCCTGTGAGGTGGAAAATGTCACTGCACATGATTAGTTTTCCCAAAATGATGGTGCCTTTGAACTAAAATTGAGATTTTAAAAATGGAGTCGGCCATGCACAGATCCTACTTCGTGTGTTTTTGGAATTATTTTAGTATTATCTATGAGGCAGCCACTTAGATAAAAATAGCACTTTTATAATTTCCTGATCTGTCTGAATCAAGATAACATTATGCAGACTGAAATTCTGGTGGAAACTCATTGTTCTGGAATGTTCTAAATGCACTGAATATTGGAACTCAGTGACCAGCTAAGTGGACTCTACAGGACTTCTGACACCTTCCAATTAGAAGACCACTGTTGATTTGCAATATTAACCTAGTAAATGCACACAAGTACAGTAAAATGCATTCAGATTTCATTTAGCATATAAAATGAACATCTGAAAATGAAAGAAATGTGATGGTTAGTATGACTATTTCTCTGGCTCTGAAATACTCACGCTTTTTTGCTTTTGTCTTAGTATGGCTACCTGGAATCAGCTCTGAGTCTACATCTAACTGTGAATATGAAACAGCATCCTGTTCTCCCCTCATCCCCTCTCATAATAAGTAGGGGTTAAATCATCAGCCAACTCTACAATATCTGGAGTTGTTCTGTGTGTTGACAAATTCTTTATGTGAAAAGAACTCTCAGTCTCAAATATGAATGTATAATGAGAATAATTTAATATGGAAAATAATTCTTAAACATAATTTGAAAGAAAGCAGCCACATTACAGGAAAACATAGCAGCATCTTTCTAGCCATCCGGCAGAGAAAAATTGATTAAATGCACATGTGAGCACACACAGGCATTAGCCAATATCTTAACTGAGCCAGGGGCTCCTAATCTGACCCTGTTTTCCCTAGATTTAAGAAAGGAAAAATTTTTCAAGAAGTCCTAGGAGAAAATGGACACCCTCTATACAGCAAAGGTATAGTGAGAAAAAAAAAAAAAAGGCTCTCAAGTCATTCATCTTTCATGATATCTAGAAATTTAGCTTGACTCAAAATATTTTATCTTTACATACCCCCCACATTTCTTTAAATTTGTTTAACATATCTTTAAAGGATTAAAACCAATAGTTCTTATTATAAAACCTCTGGATTATCCTTAATAGAAAGACTGATACAATTCTTTAAAAAGAACAGAGCAGAAAATGGAAATAACATAAAAGAGTAATTTTTCTTCTTCCTATCTTTTATTAAAGTCTTCAAAATTAACATGTTTAGGCACAACCAATGAAGATAGGTAGCTAGGTGAGTAGATGCATGGATGGAGAGATAGAAGATAGACTACAAAGACAGCAGAGAGATCATAGATCGCACATAGATAAGCCATCCCATTTCACTTTCCTTCACTGTGCCTCTATTCCTGCCCCTCTGTCCCTACGGTCTCACCCAAGCCCAAAATATCCAAACACTATGAACAGCTCATCTGTATTCTCCCACCCTCTCTGCCCTGCTATTTTCACACAAATATATGCCAACATGATTACATACGAGGAATTTTTTAAATAATTTATTCTTACAAAATGAAATCATCTGATGTATATTTCTCATTTTTCTCACTTAACTCTATATTCTGATCATCCCTCCAAGACAGTAGATATGGATCTAACTCATTGTCTATAATAGCTGCATAATAGTTTTATTATGAATACACCAGAATTTACTCCATAGTCTCTTTCAATCATCATTCAGATTGGTTCCACATTTTTGCAATTCAATAAAAATCAAACAGTTTTATACACACACACACACACACACACACACACACACATACACACACACACACACACACACACACACACACATATATATATATTCTTGTGCATATATAAAATATTTTTATTCCTGTAATACAGACTCCCAAAATTTGAATTGTTGGGTCAATGTGTATGGAAAAATGTTTAAAGGGAGCAGAAAAAGAAAAGCTGACTGCAGGCAAATTGGGGAAAGGAGGATCACAAAAGACTGTCCCAAACTAGAGCTGTCATTTTCTCTTCTACCCTGTCAGCATACCTGTTTAACGTGCCCTCTGCTGGCTTCAATAGGCATCTGAGCTCAAGGGGACAAATCAGGACTTGCATCTTCCTCAGGGATCAGGCAGTGAGGCTCAGAGGCAGCCCCAGCGCCATCTTTGAACACCACCCCCTGTGGGAAGTCCTTCCGTCCAGGCCGCCTTGGCCAAGCACTGAGGCCCCAGAATGGTCTCACTCTCCTGTGCACAGAGACCCCCATCATTTGAGGACCGTGCTGTGGGCACTCTCAGACTTCTCTGAAACAAACATCCTCCGTTCTTTGAGGTGCTCCCCGTATGAAGCCATGTGAAGTGCCTCACCCTGGGTATGTTCTTGTCTATTCTGTTTCCTCACGCAAGGAACCCCCAGGGTGCCACATCCATTCAAGTGGGGGCCATCGCTGGCTTCAGTTTGGACATAATTGTTACGACCCTCAACAGCCTCATCTCAACACTAATTCACTCTGAGTTTATAACAGACCAACAACACTCTAAATTCTTTCCATATATGTTTTTACTAAAAGTCACACAGAAAAAGTCTATTCCCTCTATTTTCCCTCTATTTTCTGGGAAGTGATCATGGAGAAATTAATACAAGGTACTAGGGAGATGTACATCACTAGACCCACTATCAGAATGGGATGAGGGTGGGCAGCATAAACAACAGGAGGAGGCACTTTTTAAGTCTGAAATTGTCTAAGTGTCACCTTCTACCATTCCATATACCCCTACCATCTATTTCTCACATCAATCCAGTGTCATTGATACCATGTTGCCAATAAAAGAAAAAGATATTCCCTGTAAGTTAAAAGGAGCACATGACGTAGCAAACCACAAGCAGCAGAACAAGGGACCTGCGCTGACAAAAAGCTCAACCTCATCGCCTGGACCTCAAGAGGCCCCTGTGGCAGCAGGCTTCTCCCTGAAGAAGTCTCCTCAGGTTCTGGGTACAAAATTATATTATAAAGCAAATAGTAAAGCTAAGGAATGATTCTTCACAGGATTGGAATAGGCTGAAAAATATAATTTCCCCCAAAAACATTGACCTAGTTGTAGATGACAAGATTTATAAGGGTATGAACCTATATGTCTTACTCAACTTTTTATCCCCAGAGCTCTTGACTCTCTGCCTGTCTGGCTGAATGAATAAATGAATAATTAGCCCCAACCTTTCAGGAAGATGTCAAGGAAAACAGCCAGGCCCTGCCATCATATGCATCCCATCAAAACACTGGCCTTCAAGGTCCATAGTCTGAATTACTATGGCAAACCCTAGAATTTAGATTTTGAAAATCTCTGGTCCTCATATATCCTAACTCTGCCCTTCAACATCTGGAACAAATTCAGGGACTCTGGAGCTGGTTAGAATAGCTACCTCTAGAGGGAGGATTAATTAAGTCACTCAACAAGCACTTACTGAGCATCTACTAGATATCACTATAGTAACAGCAGCTGTAAGCACAAATTCTGTCATCATGGAAGACACTTGCCAGTGGATTAAACAGGTATAACATCTCAATAAATAAGTGAAATATATGGGCTACTAGTAGGTCATAAATGCTATGGAGAAGAATAGAGCAGAAAAGACTTTGATGGGAGAAGATCGACCCTTTCCTCATCCCCACTACAACCACAACACAAAGGGAAGTGCAATTCTCTTTTCTACCTTCTAGGAAACCAAACAAGGGGAGAAATACAATCATTTAAAATTTTAAGTGGTTAGAAAAGAGGATATGGGAAAAGTCACTCCCAAACATGGTGGCCCAGTCTGGCTTTGGAGTACCGACACGTGTCCACACAGCTGCGTCACTGCTGAGCACGAAACCTCCCAGCCTGCGCTGCCAGCTGGCATCCCCTCCCTGGGACAGGGCTCAGGGCAGAAGCCCCTTGCAGAGATGAGCCTGTCCCCTTCTCCAAGAGGCTGAGTGTCTGTGCCGCTCTGACTGCCGTGTGTCCTTGTTCTTAAGATACGGGAAAGAAGGATGAAGTAAAGGATGACATTTATCTCTGTCAACCATTTGGCAGGGAATCACTAGTTGGAAGCGTCTGATGGAGGAGCTACTGCAGAACAGGCAGCATGTGGCAGGGAGGTAACGCATGTGCATGGAGTGAGGTCACCACCCCCTGTACTGGGGCCATCAGGGTGTCATCATGAACAGCCACTGTATGTCTTCACTAGCCCAGAGGGCATGGTCACCCCAGGTGGGATACAGTGTAGCCAATTTCTGCTGTGGCACTGAAGCTTTGGCTTCAGTGACAAGGCACATGGAGTGGGGGCAGCCCTAAATTCCTGAGGGGATGAGTCCCCAGAGTTTGAAGGGAGCTCCCAGTAGGAACCTTGAGCAAGCCACTGACCTTCTGTGCATCCTGTCTGGAATGGGGACAGCACCAGGGACCATGTCTACCTCCCAGAGGTGTCTGGGCACACCCAATGGGCTCTTGGTGAGTTCACACAGCACGTTACCTCAATGACAGCTTTTGTTTCATTAGGCTAAACACTCTTTTGAGAAGGAGATAAGTAAAGGGGTTGCTGGAAATGCAAGGGAGGAGATGGAGAAGACTGAACTGAACTCATCTCAACAGCCAAAAAACACTTACTCAGCCGTATGAGTGC